CGCATGGTATTATTTGACAGGGATGATGGCCCTGGCAGGTGCGCAACCGTTGTTGCAGAAGTTCGAAAAAGTTGCTCGCAAAAGCCCGTTTGACAGAAATGTTTAAAAAGTGTTGGGTTTCCTACGAATCCGCAAGAGCGCGCGGGATGAAATTTTGACAATTTTTTTTTGAAAAACCATTGGTTTTTTGATGTTTTTATGTTAAAATCGCTGCGAACACTAAGGTTTTGGAAGGATTTCGTCTTGCGCGCGCGAATGTCCACTTTACCTTATTTTTTGCAAGGGATTCTTGAAGTTTGGTTATGTTAGAACAAGAAATGTCCATTTTTATTTTTTGCAAGGGAAAACGGTAACAAAACAACCGGATCCGGATCACCATCGTTTTGCCTGAGACTTCCTCACGAAAATGATGAAAATGTGGCTGCGGCCTAGGCGGCGAGGGGGGGCGCGCACCAGGGGTCCCAACAATAATTATTCTTTAGAATAATAATGTTCAACAACAACAACAATCATTTTACCCTCATGCGCCATGCTTCCACATGACACATGCATCCATCTGGATAACACACCCCATCATGGGGGATTTTTCTGGCATGCGGGATCCGATATTCCCTCACCCAGATATCCCGCCCAAGAAGGTTTGGCCACCACCTCTTCCGAGGAACTTCAACATCCATAGCTCGGACGGCACATCGCCATTGCAATCGCCTTGCGCATGCCCCGCATCTCAGAGGGAGAGGAAGAGGAAGAGGAGGGGGAGATGAGAGAGATAGGGAGGGGGAGGAGGAGAAGGGAGGGGGAGGAGGGGGAGGAAGGATGAGTAGTTGTAGTAGCAGCAGTTGATGATATTGTTGTTGCGGCTGTAGCACTAGTAGTAGTGGTAACGGTAGTAGTAGTCCAAGTAAGTAGAACTGGCTTGTGGCAGCCAAGCGTTCATAGCGACGTTGCTTTTTGATCCTCCTTTAATGTCTTCTCTCCCTATCCTTGAGACGCAGAAGTCTCAAAAAGTTGGATGGCTCAGCACATCCAGGAAACCTATCGCTGGACCGGCCCAGATATGGTTCCAGAAGCGGCTCGGGAAGCTGCGCAGGCGCCAGAAGCAGAGAAGCACCACGTACGGGCGCCGGCTCGGGCGTCCGGCCCAAAGCCGCTCCAGAATCGGCCCAGGACGGCTTCCCGGGCGCCGCAAGCAGAAATTCAGCATTTTCGAAAGAAAAATGTGTATTGGAATGGCCTCTTTTCGGCGCGATCGGAACTGCCCGGGCGTCCGGCCCGGGAGCCGGGCCGGGTGCCGGCCGGGCCGGGTGCCGGCCCGAGCTCCGGAATCGGCCCGGACGGCCTCCCGGGCGCCGGAAGCAGAAATTCAGCATTTTCGAAAGAAAAATGTGTATTGGAATGGCCTTTTTTCGGCGCCGCCTCGGAACTCGATTTTCCGGCGCCCGGGCGCCGGCTCGGGCGCCGACCCGGGCGTCCGGCCCGGGAGCCGGGCCGGGTGCCGGCCCGAGCTCCGGAATCGGCCCGGACGGCTTCCCGGGCGCCGGAAGCAGAAATTCAGCATTTTCGAAAGAAAAATGTATATTGGAATGGCCTTTTTTCGGCGCCGCCTCGGAACTCGATTTTCTGGCGCCCGGGCGCCGGCTCGGGCGCCGACCCGGGCGTCCGGCCCGGGAGCCGGGCCGGGTGCCGGCCCCAGCTCCGGAATCGGCCCGGACGGCCTCCCTCCCGGGCGCCGGAAGCAGAAATTCAGCATTTTCGAAAGAAAAATGTGTATTGGAATGGCCTTTTTTCGGCGCCGCCTCGGAACTCGATTTTCCGGCGCCCGGGCGCCGGCTCGGGCGCCGACCCGGGCGTCCGGCCCGGGAGCCGCTCTCGGCGGCGAGCAAGAGCACCGAGCCCGAGTAAAAAAGGAGGAAGTCTCGAGCCGGAGCGTTGTTGTTGTTGGGGGGCCGGTTTTGGCGGAACCCCAAAACGCCTGAGCGTGAGCCTCAATTTCAGAGGAAATGCGGCCGGCGCCTCGGCGAGAGCGCCAGGGCGAATATAGGGGGTCCAACAATAATAATTGTTTAGTAATTAAGGTTCAACAACAACAACACCAACAACAACAACACCAACAACAACAACACCAACAACAACAACACCATCAACAACAACAACAACAACAACAACAACAACAACAACAGCACCAACAACAACAACAACAACAACAACAACAATCATTTTACCCGAACGCGTGGTGTTCTCCCCAGTGCCAGGGTTTTCATACGACACCAGGCAATACCCCCACTTCGTGGGGGGGCATTACAAGCTCTACCAAAATATCCAAACGACTCTTCGCGACCACCCAAACCCAGCTTCCCGCCCTATGACGTTGGGACACTTCACTTCGTGGCGTGCGGACGACCGTGGCTACTACACTGGCGTGGGGTACACACCCACAGAACTTGGTCACTTATTCGGGGCGCGCATGTGCCCAGCATGGTGCAATTGTGCCATACAATACATAATACAGAGAGACAGAGAGAGAGACAGAGAGCAGACAGAGAGAGAGACAGAGAGAGCGCATGGTATTATTTGACAGGGATGATGGCCCTGGCAGGTGCGCAACCGTTGTCGCAGAAGTTCGAAAAAAGTTGCTCGCAAAAGCCCGTTTGACAGAAATGTTGAAAAAGAGTTGGGTTTCCTACGAATCCGCAAGAGCGCGCGGGATGAGATTTTGACATTTTTTTTGTTGAAAAACCATTGGTTTTTTGATGTTTTTATGTTGAAATCGCTCCGAACACTAAGCTTTTGGAAGGATTTCGTCTTGCGCGCGCGAATGTCCACTTTACCTTATTTTTTGCAAGGGATTCTTGAAATTTGATTATATTTGAACAAGAAATTTCATTTTATAGTGTTTTTTGCAAGGGAAAGCGGGGGGGAACAAAACAACCGGATCTTGATCACATCGAATTACCTGAGGCTTCCTCACGAAAATGATGAAAATGTAGCTGCGGCCTAGGCGCGGCGGGGGGGGCGTGCACCAGGGGGCCCAACAATAATTATTCTTTAGAATTAATAATGTTCAACAACACCAACACCAGCAACAACAACAACACCACCACCACCAACAACAACAACAACAACAGCAACAGCAACAACAACAACACCAACAACAACAACAGCACCAACAACAACAACAGCACCAACACCACCACCAACAACAACAACACCAACAACACCAACAACACCACCACCACCAACAACAACAACAACTACTACAACAACAACAACAACACCAACAACACCAACACCAACAACAACAACAACAACAACAACAACAACAACAACAACAACAACAACACCAACACCAACACCAACAACAACAACAACAACAACAACAACAACAACAACACGGCATGGCCCCCCAATGGGCGGCGAAATCCCGCTCAGGTCTGCGCAGTGCCTCGCTCCGCTGGACCCACCAGCAGCCTTAGAAAGTGGCGAACCAACCAGCAGCCATCGAAAGTGGCGACAATCTCGCAGATCGCAGCCCCCCAAGGACGGCGAGGTCTAGCTCAGATCCGCGCGGGGCCCCACTCCGCTGGACCCACCAGCAGCCCTCGAACGTGGCGACCGTCTCGCAGATCGCAGCCACCCAAGGACGGGGAGGTCTCGCTCGGATCCGCGCGGTGCCTCACTCCGCTGGACCCACCAGCAGCGAACGTGGCGACAATCTCGCAGATCGCAGCCCCCCAAGGACGGGGAGGTCTCGCTCAGATCCGCGCGGCGCATCTCACTTCTGGACCCACCAGCAGCCATCGAACGTGGCGACAGTTTCGCAGATCGCAGCCCCCCAAGGACGGGGAGGTCTCGCTCAGATCCGCGCGGTGCCCCACTCCGCTAGACCCACCAGCAGCCTTCGCACATGACCAGGAACCCTCGAACGTGGCGACAATTTCCAGGTCGCAGCCCCCCAAGGGCGCGGAGGTCTCGCTCAGATCCGCGCGGTGCATCACTCCGCTGGACTCACCAGCAGCCCTCGAACGTGGCGACCGTCTCGCAGATCGCAGCCCCCCAAGGACGGCGAGGTCTAGCTCGGATCCGCGCGGTGCATCACTCCGCTGGACCCACCAGCAGCCCTCGAACGTGGCGATAATCTCGCAGATCGCAGCCCCCCAGCGACGGGGAGGTCTCGCTCAGATCCGCGCGTTGCCTTACCCCGCTGGACCCACCAGCAGCCATCGAACGTGGCGACAGTCTCGCTGATCGTAGCCCCCCAAGGACGGGGAGGTCTCGCTCGGATCCGCGCGGTGCCTCACTCCGCTGGACCCACCAGTAGCCCTCGAAAGTGGCGACAATCTCGCAGATCGCAGCCCCCCCAAGGACGGGGAGGTCTCGCTCAGATCCGCGCGTTGCCTCACTCCGCTGGGCCCACCCGCAACGCTCGAAGGTGGCGACAGTTTCGCAGATCGCAGCCCCCCTTCCCTGCCACCGCGACACGGGCGGGGCATCGCCGGTTAGGACGTGGCCCTCAAAAGCATGCGGAAGGGTGGATGGGGAGCGACGGTGCAGTGCAGCCGTGGCCCCGCGGGGAGGAGGGAGGAAGGAGAAAGGAGGAAGGAGGGAAGAGGAGGGAGGGAGGGAGGAGGGGGGGAAGAAAGGGAGGGACGAAGGAGTGAGGAGAAGGACCCACGCATCAGGGAAGAGGAATGTGAAGATCCCATCCCCGCGCCGTGAACGAAAGCAGCAAACGCAAAAGGTCAACGAATCAACTCATGCAACTGGCTTTCCCATTGCCTCCCAGCGCCAAGAGCGACCGTGCATCGATGACACTGCCTCGGCCAGCGGCGGCGAAACCAGCTGCGCGCCACAGATTTCGCAAACAGCCCTCCTCCGACCCCCCCCGCCTCGTCCGACCCGAGGGGTGGGGAGGAAGGACAGAGGAGGAGGACAGGGATGCCTCCTCCCCCCCCTTCCCTCCCCTCCTCGCGCACATGGGGCCATGCGCGCGCCCTCCTTTTCACCGGCGCTCACCATGCATCCTCCAAGTCCTTGGCGCGCCGACGATCGCGCCCCACGCATGCCGGGGGGGGGAGCCCGATCGCCTCCCCTCCGCCGTCGTGTCCGCTGCCGGGATCGCGTGCCCTTCAGGGGAACCGCTGTGCTGTGGGGGGAGGGGGTGGGGGGAGGGGGACCCTGGAGGGAAGAGGGCGGAGGAGGGAAGAGGGGGAGGAAGGAAGAACAGGATGAGGAGGCGGGGAGGAAGAGGGAGGGAGGGTAGGGGATGAAGGTGGGTTGGGTGGAAGGAGCATCAGAGAGGAAAGGACGGGAGAGGATGAGGAAAATGATGGAGAGGATGATAACAGATGAGGAGGGTGGAGGGAGGGGGAGAAGGATTGAGGACGAGTGAGGATGATTGAAGCGGGGTCTGTGACGAGTCCTCGTGATCGGTGAAGGGGACCTCAGGGTCCTCAGGGGTCCAAAGGGTCGTACTCCTGGGAGCAGGAGGAACAGGTGAAGGATGCGGGGGGGATGGATGTGGGGGGGGATGACGGGCGAGGACAGAGGAAGACCGGACAGGACTGAGCAGGAGAGGAACCGCTCAGAAGCCCGTGGGCCCACACGCCAGCGGAGATCAATTGCCATGGTGCCGCGCTGGGGGCGATCGGGCGATCGCGACGGCCACGCGTGGGGATGGGCGATGGAGTAGGAAGTGGGGAGGGATGGAGGGCGAAGTAGGAGGAGTAGGAGGAGGAGGAGGAGGAGGAGGAGGAGGAGGAGGAGACTGAGAAAGAGTAGGAGGAATGGAAAGAGGAAGGAGGAGAGGTGAGGAGGGACGCGCAATAAAATGGGTGGGGGGGCATGATGCTGAGGAGGAGCGAACGGCCTTTGCGGAGAAGGGACGATCATGAGACAAGAAAAGGGGCGGATAGTCAGGAAGGATGAGCCGAGGAGAGGGGAAGGAGGGGGGAAATCGATGGCAGAATGGAGGAGGGGGAGTGGGGGAGGCAGGGGAAGAGGGAGGAGTGGGGGCAAAGGGGAAGGGGGGCAGAAACGGGATAGGGATGATGAGAGGGAGAATGCACCTTTGGTTGAGGAGGGCGGAGGGTGGAAGGGTGAAGAGAGGAGGTGCGGGGAGGCAGAGGAAGGAGGGAGGCATGGAGGAGGGACGATGTGGGGTGTGATGATGGAGGATGGGGTCGTCGTCGTCGTCGTCGTCGTCGTCGTCGTCGTCATCGGTCGTGCCCCGCGCACGCACGCGCCCTCGCACACTTCGCTGTCGCGCAAACGCAGACACCTGGCGCGTTCCGCGCGGAACGCGCCGGGTCCTCCAAAACGAGGTACATCACCACACGACAAGACAGCAACAACAAAAAAGGGTGGGCGGGTTCAGATGATCGGACGGTGGGCCTTACGACGAGGTGAGCGCACCAGAAGTCCACCGACCCTGTCGGCGAGAGTGCGGGGATGATGGCCTCTTATCTGCGACAACCTTAAGCTCTCCCCGCCCTTTCCATGTGGCCATCATGGGGCACTCTTTTCTTCCTCAGCCACGCCGGCCCACAGTGAATCGAGCAGTGTGCAAATCGAGTCGAATGAGGACTTGATTCCCCTTGACCCCTTCTCCGATCGAAGGGCGGGGGGCCTGGAGGAGAGCCCACATCCACGGGGGATGAACTTTCCAACCCTTGACTTCGTCTCCCCCGTAAACCTCGCACTCATATGTAGCGTGGCTCTGAGTCCAAACCTGCAACATGCAATGAGATGGTCGTGCGGACGAGAGCTTCAGACCCCATACCCAAAACCTCGACACGGTGGCGGGATGGGCCGAACACCCGAACACGTTTCCTTGACAACCGTGACGCGCAACCCAAATATGGTGGCTGTCGAAGCCAGATATCGTTCGATTCTCGACGGCGTGGGAGCCCGCACAGAGCTTTCCTCTTCTCCTCCTTCTGCGCCTCTTTATCCTCCTCCTCCTCCTCTTGCTAATCCTCTCCATTGTCCTCCCTTTCCGCCTCCTCCGCATCCTGTCAACATTGCGATCGTTCTCATGATCGTCGCCTTCCTCTTGCCCTTCTTCCAGGCACTCCTTCCACGGACTTCGGTACGCGTAGCGTCATTGCAAAGTCCATTTTTTAAGCGGCCACCCGAAAAAGGGCATCATCTGCATAATTTGTTTGTCGTAATGCTGTATTGCCCGGCGCGCGACACACAACCAACCGTCACGGGTAGCACCGACTTTGGCAATTTCTGTTGGCAAATGCCACTGCGCTGTTAGGCCAGCCAACTGCGCGCCGTAAACCAAGGTCCGTGCAATCTGCGCACACCCCGCGAATCTGCTCCCTCTGCCGATGTGCTTGTCCACCTTGCCCGTCCTTTAAGCGTTTCGTGTCCGAGGACGGAGCCCGCAAGCCGCGCTGGCTTCCTCTTGCGATCGTTTGCCTCTCGCGTCAACTTGTCCCGCTCTTCGGCGCATTTCCGACACAACCGGTCCCTGGCTGCGCAGTTCTGCGCTCCCGACATCTCCGCCTTGTCTTCGACTGAAAGCAAGCTCTTGTCGTTCGAATATCGTGTTTCCGCTGCTGCCTTCCGCTTGCGATTGTTTGCCTCTCGCGTCACCCTCTCCCGCTCCTCCGCAAACCCCTGTGACACAGCCTCCCCCCTGATGCGTTGTGTGTTTCTTGAAGCTCGGGACATCTCCGCCTTCTCTTCGAACAGCGAAAAGCACTTTTCGCTCCGCCGACCCCTTGTGAGTCTTTAGACATGTGAGACTTCTCCCCCCGTCCCCCCCCCTCAGAGGCCCCAAACCGAGACTTTGACCCCAACCCCCCGGCCCCCCCCTCCCCGCCTGGCACGAACGCGGCATGAGGTTATTGAGGGTTACCCGGCGATCCCAAGAGGCCCCGCACCCGAGACTTTCTAGAAAGGCCCCGGGTTGCCGAAAAATTGTTGCAAGACGCACAAAATGGCCTCCAGACGGCCCAAGATGCCCCAAATACGCCCCCAAAAGCCTCCAAGACGGGTTCCAATATGGCCCCAAGAGGCAACAAAACATCCAAGTGCTCCTGGGGAAGTTGCATCCTTGGCATATGCGACTTTTCATACTTCACGGCGTGAAAGACGGCCGAAAAGGGGCCCCAAGACTGCCCCACGAGTTCCTCAAGACAGCCGCAGAAAGGGCCAGTAAGGCCCCAAGACGGCCCAAGAGGCGCCAAAAACGTCGCAAAAGAGCCCCAAAACGGTATACGGAAGGGCCCAAGAGCGGGAGCCCGAACGGACAATTCGGGCTTTCCGCCCCAAGATGCACCCAGGAGGCCTCAAGAGGACCGCAAACAGCTTCAAGAGGCCCCCAAGACGCGCCAAAAGGTCCCAAAACGAAGCCCAAGAGGCTTCACAAATGCTTTCAAGAAGCCTCCGGAAGGTCTCATAAAACGGTCCTAGGGAAGTGGTCCAGAATAGATGCCAAAGATGGCCCCAAGGATGCTCTACGACGGTCCCAGAAACTTCTGAAAACAGCTCCAAGAAAACGCTAAGACGGGAACGCATGAAGAAACCCCAGGGAGGTCCCCAAGAAGCCCGAAGAGTCGCCTACGACTCGTCTAGAAAGCTCCAGGAAGCCACCAACAACTCCCAAGAGACTCCCTCGTGTCCCATCATTGCAGCCTTCCCCAGAGCGTTCCAGGCACTCCGAGGAAGAGCCCAAGAAACTTCCCTCAATACCCTGACCCAGAACCTCGACACAGTGGCAGGATGGGCCGAAAACCCAACAAATTTCCTCAAAACCGTGACCCGCAACTCAAAGAATATGGGGGGCTAGACCGAAGGCTACTCGATATTCGGCGGGTGGGAGCCCGCACAAAGCCTTCTCCTCCTCCTCTTGTGCCTCCCTCTCCCCGTCCTCCTTTTCCTTCTTCTCCGTAGCTTGTCAACATTATCCTTCCCCTCCCTTTTGCTTTCCTTCCAGGTCCTCCTTCCACGGACTTCCGTACGCGTAGCGTCATTGCAGACTCCACATCCAAGTGGCCATCCGAAGGGGCATCACTTGCATGAGTTGCATGCCAAAGTGCACATGTTTCCCATCCCGCGCGCGACACACACACACACACATAACCAACCCTCACGCATGACACCCACTTCCGCGATTCTTGCTTCGGCACATGCCACTGCGCGGATAAGTCTGCCGAGTGCACTCCGTGAATGCGCTCCGTGAAACCGAAGCCCGTGCAATCTGCGCGCACCATGCGAATATGCTTCGCCTGTCAATATTTTCCCCACTTGCCCCTTCTTCAAGTGCCTCGTATCCGAGGATGGGGCCCCGCAAGCCGCGCACGTCAACAGCTCTGTTTCCGCATCTGCCTTCCTCTTGCATTTGTTCGTCTGTCGCGTCAACTTGTCCCTCTCTTCCGCACATTTCCGACACAACCGTTCCCGGCTGCGTAGCGACTTTTCTTCGCTCCCAGTGTCGTTGGAACATCGTGTTTCCGATTATGTCTTCCGTTTGCGATTGTGTTTGCCTCTTGCGTCACCCTCTCCAGCTCCTCCTCGGATGCCCGACACAGCCTCTTTCCTGCTGCGTTGTGCTCACCATGGGCTCGGAACATCTCCGCCTTCTTCGACGAGCGACAGGCACGCTTCGCTCGAACATCGCACTTGTGCCAACGCTCTCGTCCCACTTGAGCTGCCGTGGCGAGGTATCTGGTGCGTTTTGACCTGGCTGCATCTCGCGCAGCACATGGCCCCACTCCTCTTTCGGCCACCCCGCGCCGCCCGCCCCGGGCGCGCTCTCCGCGCGTCAGGCAGAGGGGGCCCCATGGGGCCGATCCTGGAAGTCCGCGCGCAGCTCCGACACTTTGTGCTGCTGCAGTTTTTGGGCCCTGGTGACATTCACGGTCTCTTGGACCGTCTTGGACGCTGTAAAAGCCCCAAAGGCGAATCTGTCAAACATCTGTTCGGAAGGGAATGGGGCGATTGTTGCGTATTGGGACCCTTGGGGGATGTTCTTGGAGGATTTTTGGGACTTGTTGGACGCCTCGTGGGACGTCTGGAGGCCATCTTGAGAGTTATGGGCCGACCTGTCGGCGACTCGGAGCCGTCTTGGACCGTGCTGGGTGTCTCTGAGGCCGTTTAGGAGCCACCAACAAGCACAAGGAGAGCTTGGATCCGCCCAGGACGCGTTCCTAGCCTAGGAACGCGTCCTGAGTAGGAATCCTAGGGGCGTCGTCCGGGGCCAGGGAAGGGGGGGTCAAATTCCCCGTTTGGGGTCCTTGAGGGAGGGCAATATCACATGCCCGGGGACCCACAAGGGGTCAGCGGATGTTCAGCAGCTTTCGGCCTGGGGATGGGGTCGACACTTCGGGGGGCCCGCGGCTCAGAGCTGTCTATAGTTGCCAGAGGTCGGAGCTCCCTCCCTCCTCGTGTTCCTCCTCCTCCCCGATCCCTTCGGTAGCAAACCATGGGAGCCTGGCGTACCCCCGCAATTCCGTCTTGAGGGCGCACCGGCGCCGACTGGCGTGTGACAATCGGTGAGACTGCGTCGACTTGGCGCCGGTCAAGCGCCGATTGGCATCGATCCAGCGTCGACCAGCGTCGATCCGCCAGAGCCATCAAGGTGGTATGGGAGGGCCCCACCAGCTGCCACCTGACACTCCCATCGCCCGAGGGCGTGCACGCAAGGCTCGGCCCCTGAAGCGCCAGCAGCCCTCCTTGACAGCGACGCCGGAGCACCACGGGCTCCAGAGGTGTGCGCTCCGTCGCTCTTTCCGCCCGCCGGCCTCGCGGGTGCGGAGGCCGGCGTGCGCTCCGTCGCTCTCCGCCCCCGGAGCCGCACCCCCGCGGATCGGGGTTCACGCGAGAGGGCTCACCGGCAGCGGGGCTCTGCCAGAACACCCTCTGGGACTTCCATCATCGCCTCCTGGGGCGCCCTTGGGGCCGTACTTGAGCAACACGTCAAAAATTGTGAGGCCCTCTGGGAATCTCGTCGGGTCCTCTTTGGAGCCCAGAGGGATCAGGGAGGAGGAGGAGGAGGAGGAGGAGGAGGAAGGAGGAGGAGGAGGAGGAGGAGGAGGAGGAGGAGGAGGAGGAGGAGGAGGAGGAGGAGGAGGAGGGAGGAGATCAGGAGGCGGACGAGGACGAGGACGACTAGGGGGTCGGAGAGCGGGGAGGGCGGAGTAAGAGGAAAGAGGGGGCAAGGAGGGAAGGGGAGGAGAAGCTCGGCTGAGAAAAGGAACATGGGTCTGTTGCGGGCGGTGAGCTAAGCCCTGGTCTATCTTCTCCAGCCGGTCGGGCTCGCTGCGACCGCCTGTGAAGGACATGGAGGTCTCCTGTGTCGGGAGCCACCCTTCATCCTCCTACACCCTCCACCTCCCTCCCCTCTCCTTGTCCTCCATTCTCCCTCATTCCCATCGCCTTTCTTCCTCCATCCTCCTCCTCGTCGTCCTCCTATTGCTCCCGCCTCTTTGTGATTTCTCCTCCTCCTCCTCCTCCTCCTCCTCCTCCTCCTCCCTCCTTCCAGCTCCCTGCTCATCCAGAGGAGATGGCGGCGGAGGCTGGAGGAATGCTCTGTAGGAGAATTGCACAAACCATAAGGAGGAGATAAGGAAGGCGAGGAGGGGAAGAAATGGGTAGAGGAGGAGGAGGAGGAGGAGGAGGAGGAGGAGGAGAAGGAGGAGGAGGAGGAGGAGGAGGAGGAGGAGGAGGGGAGGAATAAGGATGAGGGATGAGGCGGCTACGTGGAGGGGGAAAGCGGCGATAAAGGGAAAGGGGAGGGGAAAGGGGAAGAGAAGGAGGGGCATAAGGGAAAACGCACGAGGGGCAAGGAGGAGGAGGAGGCGGGCAAGAACGGGGAGGTGGATGCGGGGGGAGAGCGGAGAGAGGAGGGGGCTGGAAGCAGGAGGGGGACGAGATGGGGGACGAGGGGAGGCGAGGGAGAGGGGAGATGAGGGGGAGGGGGGAATCCAGGGGACCTGGGCTCTGAGCACGTTAGCCACGGGGTCCTCCAGCGTCTCGCACGGGCTCGAGTGGCTGGCCGGCGCGAAGTAGTCGTCGACGTGTGAAGATGGTCGCCTCCTCCTCCTCCTCCTCCCTCCTCCCTACCTCCGCCTCCTCCTACTACTCCTCCTCCTCCTTCCCTCCTCCTCCTCCTCCTCCTCCTCCTCCGCCCTCTCTTCCTCCTACCTCCTCCTCCTCCCTCCTCCTCCTCCTCTCCCTCCTCCTCCTCCTCTCTCCTCCTCCTCTCCTCCTCCTACTCCTCCTCCTCCTCCTCCTGCTCCTCCTCCTCCTCCTCCTCCTCCTTCCTCCTCTCCTCCTCGTCCTCTCCTCCTCTTCCCCTCCTGCCTCCTCCTCCTCTCCTCCTCCTCGTCCTCCTCCTCCTCCTCCTCCTCCTCCTCCTCCTCCTCCTCCTCAAGTGTGCAGCTGCTCATGGGCCTCCCCTGCGCGGTTGCTCACGTTTCCTCGCCTGCTCCCTGGCCCCCTGCCGGCAAGAAGCGGCTCGGAAGGAGAGGCCGGTGCCCAGTGCACGGTGCGCACAGCTCCGGAGAGCCACGCGGTGGACAGAGCCACGACGTCGGACGTCTGGGTCCGTGGAGAATCGGGTGTTCGTCCGCGCGGTGGGCAGTGGGCGGGTGGTAGATGCAGCCAGCCCGTATCGGAAGGATGCGCGGTAAGCATGCAAGGGCCTTGGAAGGCCAAACTAACGTTGTTCGAACGAGGTTGGCCAGCGAAGGTCGCCAAGGATGGGCCTAGGGGCAATAATGCAAGGATACCTCTGGGAAGGCTGCCCATCCTTACCGTGCGGATTGACTGTAAATGTGCGCCTCTTCGGTGCACCCGGTGAGCCCGCGGTGACAGCCCCAAGAAGTTTTACGGAGCCTGTCCTGCGAACCTCCTCCTTCGCCGCCGCTGCCGCTGCCGCCTGCGCTTGTTCCTTCTCCTCCTGTAGGCAACTTCTGTGCGAGGGCCTGGGGCAGCCCCGCACCCCCCCCCAAGGCTCCGCGGAGGCCGCGGCCGCTGGCAAACATGGTCCGAAGATCGGCGGCGCTTGGGAAATCGAGCGCGGGGAACACGAAGGCGTCGGACGGACGGACGGACGCCACTTCAGCATAGCTGTCCCGCGGAAGGGGATGGGCGCGCAGCGCACAAAGCGCTCAGCACGGCATGTGCACAAAACCATATTCGAGAGCGTGCAATTCTTCTTTGGTGAGCATCTGGTGCCATTTCTCTGTTCCGGCATCCATGCCCAGACTTTGTGCTCCCGAACGTCAGCCGCAGCTGGCGCGCTGCCTCGACAAGCCGCCGAGGGCTCCAGCGCGCACCCGCGGAGCTTGGCTCGGTGAGGCCTGCGCTGGGCCGTCGATCCTCCGGCGCCCCGCGCCCCCGGGGCGGCCGAGAACGAGGGGCGCATGGGGCCACGAGGTGTCGCACGCTGTGGCGACGAGGTCGGGCCTGGGCAGGGAGGAGGAGGGGGGGGAGAGGCGCGCGGGTCTGGGGCCAGGGGAGGGGGGGCGTATCGGCAACACCGCCAGGCTAGCGGCTATGGCAAGACACCGACAGAGGGCGGGGCTCGTCCCCACACCCCGACGCCCAATCGGTCGCCCTCCCCCCTCTGCTTCTCTCGCCCCCCCCCTCCCTCCCTCCCTCTCGCTCCACCTCGTCGCACTCTCCCTGGGACCTCGCTCCTCTTGCCCCCTCCCCTTCTTCCCCTCCGTCTCCTCCCCATCCGCTCCCCTCCCTCCTGGGGAGGGGAAGGAGAAAAAACAAGGACTAATCCCTGGAAACAAGGCACGAGACAGCAAAACACATCCCGCTCCCCTGCCTTCGCTCCGCTCTCCTGCAGGCGGTGCGCTTCGTCGTCGTCGTCGTCCTCCTCCTCCTCCTCCTCCTCCTCCTCCTCCTCGTCATCGTCGTCATCCTCGTCGTCGTCATCGGGTGGCCCGCGTGGCTCCTTGGGGCTCCACCAACACCTCCGCGCGGCCGACGACATCGCTCCTGGAGGAAGGGGCCGAAGAACCGCCCTCCGCCCTTTTCCCCGGCCCCCTTGGGCACTCTCCGTGAAGTGCACATTGCAATCGACACTTGCGATACAGTGGAAGCCAGTCCACAAGAAACCTTCCGCAAGAAACCCCACCCTGAGACCACAGCGTGTCCACTGATGTTGGTGTGAGGACGACATTACACCTGAGAAAACCCAATCAGTGGATGATTTGAAAATTAGTCATATGGATCTTGAGATCGATTGTGAGATCGACTATGAGATCGATAGTGGAACCGATCGAGGACGATTGTAAGGTCGATCGTGAGACCGAGAGTGACATCGATTCCATGAGATCGATAGGGAGATCGATCGCGAGATCGCTCGTGCGATCTTTAATGAGATTGCTTGCGAGATCGATTGTGAGATCGATGGAGAGATCGGTAGAGAAATGGGACATGAGATCGATATTGAGACCGATCGATAAGAAGATCGACCAACAACCAAAGAATCTGGGAACCTCGCCGCCCACCGAAATCGGCCCGGGAACCGGGCACCCGGGAACCCGGAACCAGGAACCCGGGAACCCATGGGTTCCCGGGTTCCTGGTTCCGGGTTCGGCGGGAAACTTTCGCCAAATCCTTCAACCTCCGCTAGGATCCCTTCAGTGCAAGCGCTGATTGAGGAACAAGAAACACGCGTGCCATGGCTCTTGCACAAAACGGAGGGGGAACGAGGAAGAGGAGGAGGAGGAAGAGGAGGAGTAGGAGGAGGAACAGGAGGAGGAGGAAGAAGAAGAGAAGGAGGAGGAGGAGGAGGAGGAGGAAAGGGGGGGAGAGAGGGGACGAGAGATCGGAGAAGTCTCGGGGGGGCGGGACGGCGGGGGCGGTGCGACGCAGAAATAAAATGGTTGGGGCGGAGGGGGGGCGGGGTGCACTGGGCGGGCGGGGAGGGGAGAACGATCGTGGGGGCGGGACGGTGGGGGCCGTGCGACGCAGAAATAAAATTGTCAGGGCGGAGGGGGTCGCGCTGGTGGTGGTGGTGGTGGTGGTTGGTGTGGGTGGGTGGGTGGAGGCGCGGGACGGTGGGGGCCGTGCGACGCCGAACTAAAATGGTCGGGGCGGAAGGGGCCGGGATGCACAGGGCTCTGGGCGGCTGGGGAAGGGGGAACGGTTGGAGTGGCTGGACGGGGGGGGGCGGTGCGACGCCGAAATTGAATGGTCGGGGCGGAGGGGGTGGGGGGGGCACTGGACGTGGGGCGGTGTCGCGTGGTGGTTGGTGGTGGTGTGGTGGTGGTTGGTGGTTGGTGGTGGCGGCGGTGGTGGTGGTGGTCGTGGTGGTGGCGGGGGTCGGGGGTGGGGGGGTGAGGGCGGGGGTGGTGGTGGTGGTGGTGGTGGTGGTGGTGGTGGTGGTGGTGGTGGTGGGTGTGGTGGTGGTGGGTGGTGGTGGTGCGGGGTCGGCGGTGGTGGTGGTGGTGGTAGGTGGTGGTGGTCGGTGGTGGTGGTGGTGGGGGGGTGTGGGGGGGGGGTGGGGGGGTGGGGGTGGGGGTGTTGGGGGTGGTGGTGGGGGGTGGGGGTGGGGGTGTTGGTGGTGGGGGGGGGGGAGCTCAGTGGCGGGGGGACGCGGGGGGAGCGGGGGGAGGTGGGTGTGCGACGCGGAATAAAGTGTTCGTGGCGGAGGGGGCAATGGGCGGGGCTCCCGCTGGGGCGGGGCTGGGGCACGGGGACGCGGGGGGGGGCTCGGGGCAGAGGGCAGCGAGCGGGGGTCCCCCTGTGGCCTGGGGACGCGGGGGGAGGGGCGGGGTGAGGTGGGTGTGCGACGCAGAATAAAGCGTTCGTGCCTCAGGGGGCAATTTGCGGGGCTCCCACTGGGGCGCTGGGGACGCGGGGGGGGCTCGGGGCAGAGGACAACGGAGCGGGTGTCGCACTGCGGCGCTGGGGGCGCGGGGGGAGGGGCGGGGGGAGGTGGGTGTGCGACGCGGAGTAAAGCGTTCGTAGTGGGGGTAGCAATGGGCGGAGCTCCCAGTGGGGCGCTGGGTGCGCGGGGAGCTCGGGGCAGAGGACCGCGGAGCGGGTGTCCCACTGTGGCGCTGGGGACGCGGGGGGAGGGGCGGGGGGGGGGGGGCCGACGCGGAATACAGCGTTCGTGGCGGAGGGGGCAATGGGCGGGGCTCCCACTGGGGCGCTGGGGACGCGGGGGGGTTCGGGGCAGAGGGCCGCGGAGCGGGAGTCCGAGCGGGGGTCCCACTGCGGCGCTTGGGGCGCGGGGGGAGGGGCGAGGTGGGTGTGCGACGCGAAATAAAGCGTTCGTGGCGAAGGGGCAATTGGCGAGGCTCCCACTGGGACGCTGGGGACGCGGGGGGGCTCGGGGCAGAGGGCCGCGGAGCGGGTGTCCCATTCTGGCGCTGGGGGCGCGGGGGGAGGGGTGGGGGGAGGCGGTTGTGCGACGCGGAATAGAATGGTCGGAGGTCTAGACACCCTGTACAACATAATAAACATAACAACTCAAAATTCTGCGCGGAATTCTCGGGTCCGCGCTGGACCAACCTGACGGCGCCCCCGGCGCCGCCCCTGGCGCGCTCCGCGCGCCGGGGAGGGGGCCCAGCGCGGATCCGAGAAATCCGCGCGAACCTCCGAGTTTGTTCCCCAATCAGAGCTTGCCTCTGTAGGGGCCCCAGCGAATTCATATGGTTAGGTTAGGTTTGTCGCCGATTTTATCCGCGCGCCCGGGTGCCCAGGTGCCCGGGGATGCCCGGGGCCCGGGTGCCTGGGGGGTGCCCAAGGGGTGCCCGGATGCCCGGGTGCCGAGGTGCCCGGGGGCGTGCTCGGGGTGCCTGGGGTTGCCCTATAGCCCTATTGCCCTAAGCCCTATAGCCCTACAACTCTGTAGCCCTATAGCTCTATAGCCCTGTAGCTCAATAGCCATATAGCCCCCCAGCCCCATAGCCCTGATTGGGTTTTTCTTCGGGATCATATGCTTATGTCATTCTTCGTTCCGCCAAGCAAGACCATCGAAACCCAAGGGGCCCAGTGCACTCTGGAGGCAAGCAGGATATCCCACCAGACCTCTGGGCGCGGGTGGTCTAGGGCGTTTCCTTCTCCAACCTCCTGCCTTTCCCTGTTCGGGAAGCTTGCCTCCGCCCTCCTTCCCTGCGTCTGGGCGGGCTCCGCCGCGATGTGTCAGAGGGTCCTGTTTGGTCCAGGATGGCTTCGAGAGGGCTTCAGAGAGCGCAAAATGGCCTCCAAGATGGCCCAAGATAGCGGTATATGGGTCAAGATGGCCTCCGACGCGCGTCCAACAGGCTCCGCGACGGCCCCGAGACGGTTTGAAGTGCCCTCCGAAGCCTCCAAGGACCCCCCCCGAGAGGCCCAAACCCCTCAAACACTTACGGGAAATCAATGTTTTGTGCCTTCTCGTTGTTTCGCCCCCGATGGGCTCTCGAGGCCTCAAGGCGGCCCCGGGGCGGCCCGAGATAATCCCAAGAGGTGTCCAAGAGGGCCCCGGGGGCGCCCGAGAGCGGGCCAAGAGGGCCCCAAGACGGCACCGTGGAGCCTCCGAGGGAGGGGGGGGGGGCAGGGATTAAGGACCCCTCTCTTTTCTAACGAAAGGGTCCAAGACGGCCCCAAGAGGCCCCTCAGGCATCCCGAAAGACCCCCAAGAAAGCCCCCAGACACTTCAAAAGGGCCCCAAGAGGGCCCCAATACGCCTCTAGTACGAGGCGCGTCTAGACACATTAACTCCCCGAGCCCCCCCCCCCCCCCCCGCCCGCCACGCGCCCCCGCCGCCCATGCGGCGACGGGCGAAGCAGAGGACACTACGCGGGGACATGCGGTGAGAAAACGGAAAAGGCAGCAACATGAATATTAACAGAGAGCTGTCGGTCACGCAACTCCTTTCTCGAAGCAAAGAGTCGGCCAAAAGCCGCGCGCTTGTCTCTCGACCCCGTGTCAGAGCACGGGCGCTGCAAAGCCAGCCCTCCGCGCAGTGAGAACCGCGCGGAGAAACAAATCGGACATCTGCTTACTCGCCAGAATTCTGAACTATAGAAAATGAATTCTCCGGCCCTGAGCTGCATTACTTAGGAGAGGCCAACTACCGCGCGCGACCTCCTCGCACGCAGAGAAAGCCGAACAAGAAAAACCCCTCCACCTCCACCGCTCAGGGCCGATTCCCGCTCGCGAAACTAAACCGGTCCCACTGGCGATAGAACGCGCGGCCGACTCGGTGCCGAAAGGGTGGCGCGACCGCTGGGAGCATTAGAATCTCCTCCATGGTCAGCGGTCGTCGCACCATGTCAGCATCCACAGCGCCCTGGATTGCTTAGTTCACTCGGGCTGCAATTCTTTCCAACTCTCGTCCGGGGCCCGCGCCAGTCAGCAGCCGCAGAGGGTTCGACCAGCGGACCGTGAAATCAAGCGGTGCGTAGTGCATGCGAAATGCCGAGTGGGATTCGTCGACCGGCATGATCTCCCAGCCCCATATGTAGAACCGCTCTAAGAAATGGTACTTTGCCGTGCGTCGCGAGGCTGACGGGGCCCGCGGTGGAACTGTGCGAATGGCTGACCCAACTTCTTCTGCAGGATCGGCCGGGGCGGAGTGCAGTGCGCGGGCGACCTCGCCCTGATCGGGATCGTGGGTCGCGCAGCCGATCGAATAGTCGACAGTGTACCTGCCGCCCGTCACGTCCAGCCTGCAATCCACTAAATCCACTCCACTCCACGCTTCGTCTACTAAGCCCACCGAGTTGCGAGCCAAAGACAGCGCCACGTTGCTGACCGCCAGTGTCAGGTTCTTGGTCGCCAGGGCGACGGTGCCTCCAGCGTCTGCTGCGTCCTCGACAAAGCCCGCTGCCGCGCCTGCGCCGCGCGCCACGTTGGGGAAGACAAAAGCTGGGCAGGCCGCGGCAATGAAGAGCATCGCTGGCAGCGGCGTCCAGATGTGGCCGAGCACGGCGACGCACTTGCCCAGGCTACGCAACTACGCAACTCGCTGCACCCTGTGGGCCTTCTCGCTGGGT